AGAATGTTTGTCATTGCATTGCAAATAATAATAATGATAATAATAATAATAAAAGGCATCACGTAGCCCGGCAAGCCTCTGCTAATGGCAGTTCTATCTGAACCAGAAGGCCTTTAGCCGAGCCGAAATCACGATCAAGACAAACATGCACAAATTTATCGACATTGTAATGTTGTGGTTGAAAAGTCAGACATGCTGTGTGATATGTAGAAGCAACAGACATTGATTGATTAATATGTGAGGTTTAATGTGCCAAAACCACAGAGGGCTGTGGAAATTTTGACCACCTGGGGTTCTTTAACATGCAATCAAATCTGAACACACGGGCCTACAGCATTTTCGCCTCCATCGAAAATACATCCGCTGCAGCCGGGATTCAACCCCGCGATCCGCGGGTCAGCAGCCCTAGCCACTAGACCACCACGGCGGGGCGGCGAGCAACAGACATCAAAATAGTGAATGTACCAACATGAAAGCTAAAGAATGCTTTAGACAACGTAAAAGATAAGTTGACGAGCAAAAAATTCCACAGTCTTTTTTACACTTTAGACTGCCACAAAATTGTGACAACCAGCACATTGGTGAGACCACTTATTAAAAAAAAATAATAATTAAACAACACGAATATGATGCCAGGAAACAACGCGTGCCCCATATGCCCTCGCTAACCACGTGGAATCTACAGGTCACTAAACTGACTGGTCAAGCGCACGTGTTCTGGCCAAAGAAAAGCTTGCATCTGCCTGCAGCTGGAAAACCAGCAAATACAGACCACTGCACTTACGCTGAACAGGAGTGATGGGACGCTTTGGACAATGTAGTCCCGCTGCTTATGCCACTTTAAGCCTACTCAAAAACCCTGTGCTTTTCTTACGGTTTTTATTGTGAACAAGGCTCCCGTAGGGAGTGCCGAAACATCAGTAAACTTTATGTTCCTTTGGTAGGTGTATCATTTCACGTCTAAACTAAGAAGCAATGGTTACCCACTGCTTTTTTTTTTTTTTTTTCACGCATCTTCTAGCTTTTCACTGTAGTTGCAGCCGATGGAGTGGCTATTTAGGCTTTGATCAATGGTAATATCTATTTTTGTGACGGTTGCATTGACTGCTGTCAGTTTCCATGACCAGGTCAGATTTTTCAGGAATTCCCCGACTTTTCCAGGAGAGTACAAATTCCCTAACTTTTCCAGGTTTTCCAGGTTGGTAGACACCCTGAGCAGTATCCTTTTCCGTTGGTGGTACAAGAGTCCATCGAAAAGGAGGTAGATGCTCCGCCTTGGGATCATAGAGAGGTCGACATCACCTTATAACGCACTTTTGGTTGTGGTGAAAAAAAACCTGACGATTCGAACAGAATTTGCATGGACTTGAGATAGTTAAACAACGTACTCATGTCGGACTCGTAAGCCGATACCAAGAGTGGATGTAATCTTTGCAAAGGTTGGTGGAAAAAAGTTATTTTCGAAGTTAAATTTGCCCAAGGAGTATTGGCGAATACCCATAGAGAGTATATTCAAAGAAAAGACAGCGTTTTCATGCAAGCGAGGACTATTCCGATTCAAGTATATGGCGTTTGAACTCAAGACTGCAGCACCAGTGTTCACAAAATAGATGAGGAGAGTTTTGCATGGACTTAGTAATGTTGAGCATTATATTGACGACATTCTTGTGGCTACAGACACGTGGAGGAAGCACGTGGAAATATTGGAGAAGCTCTTTCGCAGATTACAGAAGGCCAGACTGACAATTAAGCCCTACAAATACGAATTGGGATTTCAAGCGGTCAGTTTCCTTGGACAAAAGTTGGGCCTGGGTCACACCGCCACAAAAGAAGATATTCTAGAAAAAATCCAAGCAGCAAAGCCACCGAAGACCGAAAAGGAAGTACAGTCTTTCTTGGGGTTGTTGGGATTTTTACAGAGACTTTATTTCGCATTACATTGAGATAGCTGATCCTCTGGTGGAACTGACAAAAAAAGTTGCCAGCAGTACAGTTAAATGGATGAAAGCACAAGAGTCTGCATTTGCGACACTCAATGAGCACATCGCTGAACCTTCCATTCTGCTAGCACCCCACATGGAACAAGAATTCGTATTACGCACTGATGCATCAGAAAAAACACTGGGGGTTGTTTTAATGGACAATACGCTTCACCCAGTGTTTTACGCAAGCAAGCATTTGATTGAGCAAGAAAAGCATTACTCAACAGTTGAAAAAGAATGCCTAGCTCTGGTTCGGGCAGTGAAGCGCTTTCACATTTAATTGTACGGTAGGCATTTCAAAGTGCCGACAGATAACCAGCCACTCGTGTATTTAAGAAAAGCAAGGCTAACTAATGCTCGAGTGATGCGATGGAGTCTTGCACTACAGGAATATAGTTTTCGTGACGAGTATGTCAAAGGAAGAGAGAACGTGGGTGCCAATTTTTTTAGCAGGACCTCAAACGACACTGCGCGAAAGGTCTATCATTACAGTGCGTTTTTTTCTAGTCAAGACATTGTGTTATTACATGAACTATGAAGAGTGTAACAACGCACATGACACATGATGTGACCTTATAGTGATGTGTAATGCAGTGATTAGTGATGGTGTGATGTGAGTGTGCTGGTGAAGTGCTTCAAGAAAACGACAAGGTGGTACCCATGGTCAACAGAAGGCCCTCGGATGTCAGGAACAGGAGGGCATATCATTGTCATGAGTACGTGAATTGTTGGAAGAGAGATGATGAGAAAGAAGAAATAAAATAACAGGGTATCAACGAAGATATATAAAATAAAGAAGAAGATCGAACACTGCAGAAGGTGGAAGAAAGAACACAAAGAAGAAAAGGCTAAAAAAGGGGCACAAGAGGAGACGTAGCTGGCAGAGAGGAGAAAGAAGGCGGTTTGGAATGGCAACCAGAATGATACGCTGCTAGTGGTACGGCCAGACGAATCTAATTCTTTGTCCCCCTTCTTCTTTTATGTTAATTTTTTTGTATATATTCTGGTTTATTGCATTCTTGTGCCCTTTTTACCTTTTTTTAAAAAGGAACATTATTGTTCTTATCTGATTTCTCTCTCTTTTAACAAGCATTGTAATAAAAATTTACATTATAAGGTATAGTGTGGCCAATCCCCGTTGTACGTATGAGCCAACATCTAGGCTACAAGACAAGACAAGACGCGTGGACGTGCGGTAGTCGGGGAAAGCCGTTCGCTGTAAGTCCGTCAGCAGAGCTCCTGGTAAAGTGCCCCAGTCTTCGCAACAACGCACTGTGACCTGCCGGGCGCGACCAGGGGGGCGACTAGCTCAGCCCAGCGAAACATTGCCTGGAGCAGCACAGAGGTTCGACGGCTATGCTCCGTGGGCCATGGACCTGAGGACGAGCAAGACAGCCGCGGCGTGTACCTGACCCAACGGTTACCAGATACTACGGGAACCTGACCAGCACCCTGACGATGCATTAGACGGTTGTGCTCTGGCGAAGCTTCGTTCTTGAGGGACACGATAGGACTTGGCCCAGGAACCGGAGCCACTACATCAAGGTCAGCAAGCTGTGTTAAAACTGTAAATACCTTTTGTATGCTTTGGGGAAGTATTGTGTGCAAAGGACATTCGTTCATATTATTAGGTTTGCACCACTTGTGTACATAGGTTAATTTTTGTCGCATAAAGTATCTTTATCATCCAAAGTGTTTCTGTTTTGTTTACCATCTAATATTCTGATGATGATGATATATGGGGTTTAACGTCCCAAAACCACTATATGATTATGAGAGACACCGTAGTCGAGGCCTCCGGAAATTTTGACCACCTGGGGTTCCTTAACGTGCGCCCAAATCTGAGCACATGGGCTTCCAACATTTCCGCCTCGATCAGAAATGCAGCCGTCGCAGCCAGGATTTGATCCCGCGACCTGCGGGTCAGCAGCCGAGTACCTTAGCCACTAGACCACTACGGCGGGGCACCATCTAATATTCTGAAGCATGTTTTGGCAGCTAGTCTAACAAAAAGCAAACAACATGTCATTATGTAATGCTATTGACCTTACTTTAAATATTTTTTTTTTTCACACTGAAATTTCAATTAATCCAAGCTCTTTAAGTAGCGAGTAAACAACCCGAGGTTCCAAAATTGTTATAAAAAAAAATATGTGCACTTTTGCTTTGTGAACATGTTGGTGCGAGAATTTTGTCAATACGTGCTTTGCTACTAAGGAAGTTATAGGGGTTAGAACATCGTTTTCAGCTGGTTTCAAATTTTAGCGCGGCCTCGCAACTTGTTTCCCTCCCAGGGAGAAGAAGGCGTAGCCCGTCGTCGTTACTGGCTTAGACCAATCGACGAGCTGCATGCTACTTCAAGTCGCTGATCGGTGACTTTGCGTCACTGTGCAAGAAAGGAGGATTGGTCACGCATATGAAAGGAGTGCAGGAATTGTTTTTCGAAATGGAGGCTCTGCATGGTGATGTAATATTCGACAAACGTGATCGCCGCGGTCTACTCTATGAATTGCCGAGCTTCTTTGGGGGAGTGTAAAACGTCGCAGCCTATTGACTGGCCCTTTAAGGATAGAAAAAGGCCTCAGCTTCTTAAACAAAACCGTAATTTCAAACAACATCATCAAAAGGGCTATGATGACATTTTCTCAACTATCTTCCAAAGAAAGGAAGGTGACAGCTGCACTATGCTCTTGAAGGAACAGGGCTTACATTAAGGTAAGAGAGAGGCCAACGCAATCTGCTCATGCAAAACAGGCACCCCACTCATGGTACAAGACACTTGCGTTTGAATACATGACAAATGCAATCATGCACAAAAGGCAACGAAGTACCAATACACACATTGTCAGTTAATGTCTATGCTAAAGTTACTACAGCCTACAATTTCCTGCTCAAATGGTGATGCCTGTTTTGTTTATGCTCCAAGATCAAAGGAGAAAATAAAGCAAAAGTAATTAGCCCATAATGTTCCCACCTTCTTTGTTATAGCATTGATTAAAAATAATCTCACAAACATACCAGAGCTGTTTGTGCGCTGCTTCTTTTCAGCACCACTTGAGTCTCCACACTTCCGCTTCACCGCAGCCGACAGCAAGGACAGCTGACTTTTCTTTCCTTGACCAGTTGCAGCAGCAAGTACAGTACTTTTCTTGATTTCTTGCCTTTTAGCTTCCAATGCCTCTTCAGATAGTGTGGCAACAGCTTTGTGTGCTAAGTCAAGGTATCTCTACTAAAATATACAAATAGTAACTGCAAATATTCTTGCAAAACTAATATAACATAAAAATACAATTTGATAGCACTGCTAGAAAAACTGAGCATATCTATTTATTTAGGAAAACAAAATTATTAAATTTCAAGAAAGGCTGACAAACATCTGACACCCAGCAACATTTACATCGATTCCTTCATGAACCTTGTTTGCTGTGTGGACTGTTAAATGCTATGGGGAAAAAGGAACTAGCCCTCCATGATGTTTCACTCCCTTAAACCTATTTATATCAAACAGTAAATATGAGTATTCACCCTCCCTCAGTACACAAATAGATTCCCACACAAGAATAAGGACCAAGAGTTGGAGAGTAATGGTGTACCTGCAAATTAAAATCACTTAGCTGACTCCAATGCCAGCTGAAGGAATTATTTGGACCTGGAGAACTATGGGAATTTTCAGCAGATGAAGTAGGCATGTCACATAATTGTCAAGGTGCCTCTTCTTCTCAGTCTACTGGTGCATTCAGACGACGGATCGAATCCCGATGTGGCGGGACGGACGGCGCGTCACGTGACCTCACATCAGCGATTCCCCTCGTCCGCGACTCGTCCGCGCGGCTCGCGGACGGATGAACCCAACCTGTTTCTCACATCGGGATTCTGGCGGGGGAGAACCGGTACTTCAGCGGAATAGCTTGGGGTCGGTGGCAACCAGTACACTTTTCGTCTGCTCGCGGCATGTCCTCCATGGCTCGCGGACAGCTGCATGACTGGTCGGCATCATCTACGCTTGAGCATTGTTTACTTAGTTTCCGAAGACTTTGTTCTCAGGTGATTAAATATGCAGAAATCACTTTTGGTGGTTCGGGAAATGTCGCCGCCGTCGCTTAACACGCGAGATTCTTAGCCGTCATGATGGTGAAATATTCCAACTTCTGCAACCGGCGACGTGCCGCTTCTAAAAAAAAAAAAGGCGGGAGACACGTTTAGAAGTTCTACAAGTGGGGAATAATGTAGTTGAAAGAATATCCCACTAGCAACTCTCGTTTCTCCTGAAAGAATAACACTACTCGTTCATTTGTCACAACACGACAGACATCGCAGCCAAGCTTCGCTTCTTGCGGGCATCCATGTTGAATACTCTCAAACCGGTCTGCTGCCAGCGGGCGCAGGTGAGCGCCGAATCTGCTGTTGAGGGTAATCCGGCTGTTTTCCCCTAGAACACCGTCCGTCGTGTGGATGCGCCTGCAGGCGGACCATCCGCGGATTAGCTGTCCGCATCCACGACAAATCCGGATTCGGTCCGTCGTCTGAATGCACCATAAGCATCATTGTTCTTATTGTGTACTTAGAATGAAAACAAAACAGGAATAATAGGGTTGGGAACAATGAGGATGGTTTCCCCTCTCCCACCCCAGCTCTTTTTTCTGTGAAACAGTTCAGGTGCCTGCATGAAAGGGTGAATCCTAATAAGTCCAAAGAGGCAGTGCACCAAGTGCTAGACCAATAAGAATGTAACAGATTTGTAGGTAGAATGGGGAATGGCTTGACAATTAGGGAAAGCTTAGCACTTTCTAAGAATGTGAAGGCGAAGACCAAGTTGAAACCATAGCAATGAGAAATGAAGCTCTGATCTGATGTGGTAACGTATAGGCACCGCACATGCTTTCAAAATTGTTTTTTTACTGATACAATAGAACAAAGACAAAGTTGAAGCACATGCCTAGTTGGCACGCATACCTTGTTTTTGTGTAATTTTTGTGGACCTGACGACATTGAAACAAACTTATAAGAGCTTTCGCCTCAAAATTTTCAACAAATTTTTCAGCAATGAATGACCCTTGAATTTTTTTAATCACTTCAAATCACATAGTGGTTACTGCAAAACTTCGGCTGTAACATGTGCCCTAAAGCTAGTAATTAAAATTTTACTATTATTTAAGATAGTCATGACAAATATTTTGAGCGTGAGATATGCACTGCACATCACATTGAACACATCCCATGGTCAGATAAACTCTGATGAAGGACATGTACACCGAAATTTTCCCATACAAGAGCCGTTTCTACAGCAAAACAGCACGAAACTGGTGACTTCTAACCAAGAGTCTACTATAAATTATGCATAAAGAATCCAAAGACACAGCAGAATTACTGCCACATCGGGCTGGAGGTCTGCACACTTTTAAATGCATACAAATAGACGCTTTCAAATTGTCCTCTAACTTACAAGCACTTTTAAATGAAAACACACACACCCTTCTAAAATGTTCTCAAATTTACAAACTTTACTCAATTAAATCCCAAGTTGAGCATGACAACATTACAAATCAAGATAAAATGAAAGCAAGCAAATATGTACACAAAAGTACTGAACAGGGCCCCTTCAAATTTAACCATGAGCGTCTACGATGGGGCACCTTAAATTTAAATAATCATGATGACTATCGTATATATTCATCAGCACTGAAATGTTATGTAGATCAAAAACAAAAGGAAGATTATCCCTACCATTACTCTCCAACTCTCGGTATAAACTCTCGGAATAAAGTTCTGTTGGTTAAAGGGATACAGAACAAAGCTTTTGCCACTGAGATTTTCAGCCCGATAGAAAGCTCAGGTGCTTCGGACACGTTCCTACCTGAGAACACAACGTTGTGCTCAGGTAGAAACTAGCAGAAAATAATTAATTTAATTCATTTTTCACAAACTTCCACGCCTAGCGGCCATGCCATGGACCATGAGAGGCGACATTTAACCCAGCAGAAACGGGTGTGCCAGGTGTGCTGCGTGCATAATTGCTTACCCATGCACATCACCAGCCATTGCCTGTGTCTTTCAACAAGCTCTGCTCACATTATGGTCCCTAAAACCAGCACGAAGAACACAGCCAGTGAACAATGCTTCCGGGTCGGGGCAAGCCTGAGTGCCTTTCTGGATGGGGAAGAGCGGGATGTAAAGGGGAGCTAGAGAAAGGGGAGAAGCAGTACAGGAAAGTGCACACCCGCTGCTTGTCCTTGTTACTGCTGCTATCGACGCCGGAATGCTCACAATGCCCCTAAGCTACCACCATCTGTTCACAAATATGTGAAATAAACATTGTTTAATAGGACAGTCGTGTCTTCTATGTGCAATTTCTATGCCTTATTCACTGTTTAAAAATATTCTAGTACAGTATCCACATAAAGCAAACAAAATTCAGAATGGATGATTTGTTAAGGGAAGGCCTTTGAGGGGAGGCCAGTTCTCTACTAACCTTCCCTTATCAAAACACCCATGAATAATAATTAGCAAATGTTTCATATGAACCTAAGCACATATTTTAATTTCCTGTTTAAAAACAATTTAAACAAACAAACAAATAAATAATTAAGTAAATAAATAAATAGGGATAATTTAATAACACATGTACCATTATAGTAACCATGCAAATTGGATAATATTTATCCAATAACAAGAGAAGGCTCCTTTGCTAACTAAAAAGTGACATTTAATATACATTCACTTAGCCCACACCAATGTAAATAAGTTCATGATAAAGCATAAGTTCAGAAGTTATGCAGCTCGAGTTGAGCAGTGCAGGTACAATGCAGCCCTCAAAACAGAGGCCTGGGTATATGGGCTGTGCAAGGTGCATTGGTGACCTGCTTTAAGAGTGCTGACATGACACTTTTTACTCATAATTTTTTGTCTAAGGTTGTGAAGTCACAGACCCTCATGTACTGGTCTGGGAAATCAAAGCATTAAATTTCAGTAGTGGAAGCCATGTCGTGATGGGTGATGCAAGGTGATTAGTGTCTAACGCACAAAATTGTGAAATTTTAAACTGGAAAATGCAGTGAGCTCATTGTAATTGGGTAATTAAAAATAGGTCTTCATAAAAGTCATATCAGCCTTCACATATGAAAAACTACAATTACCGACACAACTGATTCCTCGGCTTTAGAGCATGTGAAAACATAACTAAGTCCAGAAGTGCGTGTATGACTAAGCCCCTTGAGGTGAATATGCAACTTAAAGCATCGAAGGGCAGAGAGCTACAGTTGTTAACAACTGAGGTGCCAAGTGCAGATTGGCTGCTGTTCAGTGATGCAAGCAGCAACGTCGCCTAGAGGTGCCAGCCACGCACACGCTTCTACAGACAAATTCAGTTTTCTTTTTCTCCCTCCGACACAGGGGAATTAGGCATACCACAGCATCATTGGCAATGGTGCTTTTTCTTCAAATCCAAAAGCTGACATGCCTTTTATGAAGAACTGGCTTTCATTTGCATCACAAACTGCCACCACCACTGAATGCATGTTCCAGCGGAACTAGCCATATATTCCAAGATGATTATTCTTAAAATTTAAAGCTTCTGCAGAAACACCTGGCATACTGTAATGCTGTAGGTGCTACCGACATGCACAAGCACTTACACCAATATGCAGCAATTACATTAAGTTACCACTACCACTTTGCATCAATGGGAAAAAATTGTGAACTAGCACTTCGACTTTCCTGTAATTTTTCAAATGAACGGCAGAATTCAGAGAAAAACATACGGTATACATTGAGGGTGCAGATCCTTGAAATCTATCGGATAGTACAGGTGAATCAAGCAGTCCTCTTGTCATGGGATTAAAAGTGATATTGCCTTTGTTTCATATACAGCCCATATATATACAGACAGCAGCCATTTAAAGAAGCCATCAATAGATAAAACATCTGCACTTGATAGCTTGTGTCTGCACTTCCTACTCTCTCGTACAACCTAAGTAGCTAACAAATAAATGTACACATCTTGAATATTATATAGTAAAAATGGCTTCTATGAAGAGATCTCTAGGTGAAATTCAAATCTTGAAGGGGCCCTGCTACACTTTTTGAGCATGGTCAGAAAAACGCTGCCGATCGGTAGTACAGGCTCCCGACAACACGCAGGCCAAGTATTATAGCGCAGCACGCAGCCTGGAATTCACAATAAATTATCAAAGTCAGCTAAAAATACCTTTCTCTTCTCTCGACAAATCCCGGAAGAAGCCCGAAAATCACTCGTAGTGAGCCCATCTGTCAGCCATTGGCTGATTTGAACATGGCGCGCTCGGTTGTTACAGAGGTCGCCACGAGAGGCCATCACTTGTCCACGCGTGCGCGCGTGATTATACTGAAAAAGCCGCATATTCGAAGAAAAAAAAGTGCTTAAGGTCGTGAGGCACGAGTGATGTATTTTGTTGGCCCCTCCCATTCCTCCCTGCTTAGCTTTCAGCACTTTCGTCGGGACAAGAGAAGAGAGAATGTGATTGCAGCATGTTACACATCTTTGTGACTCCGCTCGTACTGCACGGATTCTTAAAATTTTTGCAGTGTTCGATTTGTGAGGTAATACGTGTTTCCAGTGAATTAATTCCATGATTACTTAAAGTGTTTTAGGGCCCCTTCAACATATGTGCTTACCCTTCACTATGTATATATAGTCAACTTTTTCACCTGTACTCTGTAGTCTGTAATCAACGCAAAGGATATTCTATACTCCTCAATCTCTTGCATATCTTCTTTCATTCGTTGTGATTCAATCTCTTGCTTCCGCATGTCAACAAATTCAAGGAATGTGACTTCATCATCATCCAATCCTCGAATCATGTTCTCTAGAATGAGGCAGGTCAACCAACATGATTACACAAAAGCTTCAGAATGTAACAAACAAACAAAATGACCAGCAGCTAAAATAGAACCTACTGAGCTTGTGCGCTTCTTCATAATCTGCTTGCTTCTTCAGTCGTTGTTCTTCTAGTCGTTCAAACAATGATCTGGGGTCATATTCTTCTTCTGGTGCCTCTGTTTAAGAACAGAAAATAAAACTCAACCGTTTCACAACCAGAAAAACACTTCGTGGAGTATTTGAAAAATTCGCCATATAATGCAGCACTGTTTGCTGACAAATATTTTTTTGGTAAGACATGCTGTAATCATATAACACTTTTAACTAATCAGCCACATAAAAAGTGTTGCCCTGAATTTAAACTATACGAAAATAAATGACACATACAAAAATGAGCTGCAGAACAGACCTAGGCACATATTGCTTCATTATTCATTTGATTTGATACAGCAGATCAAAAAGATAGCACCTTTGGATAAGTGGCTGATGCGTGCTTTAAAACTAGATTGAATTAGGTGCAGGCAGGACCTACCAAGGGTGTGAAAGTGGCAACAACTTTCTTCGCAGGTTATCAGTGTAGTAGACAGTTAAAATACAAAAGCAGCCTTTTACTTTCTTGTTAACAGAAAACAAGCAACTATTAGGCTGTCTAAAAATCTCGGTACGTGCTGAAAGCGTAGATTCCAACAGCTGCCAGAGTTCCTTAAAGGTATTTTCAGCTTCAGAGGCATTGAGCTTGTGCAATTATTGGGTACTACAATTTTAAAAGAAGTTTTAATACAGGGTTTCCTATCACTAGGGAAAAAAAAACTTTTTTTTCAACAATTATTGCACTGAATTCAATATGGCTTATTTTATAATTATAAAAATACAAGAAATTCAAACAAAATTAAAAATCTAACAATTGAAGAAAGCAAATTGTTTACCTAGGGCATAAATATATTCAGAAAAATTACTGTATATTATGCATTTTCAGAAAAGGAAACTAGGTCAGCAATGCGACACGACATAAAAATTCTTTAAACAACATTAAAATATCTAAAGTAAAGAAATGCATATGTGTTAATAAGCATTTCAACAACCTGCCACTAAGTTGCGAGTAAAGAAAGAGAGAGGAAAACAACATTTATCAGTCTTAACGGTACTACAGGCCCATATCGGGACTCCTGGTAGGCTTAAACCACCTGGGCCATCAAGTTCTTGATGCACTGCACCAGAAATGAACATATAGTTCTTCAAGCTTTCATATGGGTGTCGTCCCCTTCTAGCTTCAGGGATGCTGTTTTTGAGCTAGTTTAGAAAAATCATCCCCTTGACAGCGGAATTAACAGGAATGGTGGCTCCGCACTTACATGCAGAGTGGAGCCTATCCATTCAATTTGTAAGATCTTTTAAGCTTTTTTAAACATTCGCATCAAACTTTGTAAGATGCAAATTGGTTTATACATAAGAACTGCCTGCTTTAGGTGCTTCTATAGCGCAGTTTACAGAATTGTGACATCTATCTTCGATGAAGAGCCATGAATCTGTAAAGTTCAAGCTGCTTTTTTTTTTAAGGACCGAGAATAAGTTTTTATGGTGCTAGTACTTAAATTTTTTTATGCTTAATTCCAATGGCGGAGTTGAAGCAAGTTTTTCTACTTCTTTTGGAGCGAGTGTGTTCCAATGGCAAAGTGAAGACGGGAATCAAATGTTCCAATGAGAGAGTCGGAGTAGATTCGGGGTAGGAGAGACTCCGAAGAGCAGGAAAAGTTGCTGTACCAAAATCTCTGGAGTGGACCGGAACTCGCTTTAACATGTCCACCAGCTTGGAGTCACCTTCGCTGTCGTGTGTTCTGACAGTAATAGTGGACAACATGGAAGAATGGGCAAATCAAGCGGAATCGCTTCCTGTGCTCGACAGCGACAGTTCCGAGTTGGAAAGCTCCAGTTTCTGAACAAACACCTAATCTGATCGTGTCACCAACACTGAAACTACTACGTATGAGCAGTAATTCAACAGAATTCGACAGCTGAACTAGCGTAATGGAATAACTACATGCAAGGTATTCTGAGCAACTCAAGGACTTCCACTTCCTCCTTGCTTCCGTGCTTGCTCCGGTGACGTGGATTGTGTTCCAAACTCAGATTTGGAGGCGTTGCTCTATGCAAGAGTCGAGTGCTCCCTCACAGAGTCCCTCGGCTGTTCCAACTCTGCCATTGGAATTCAACATTAGTTCAATTACTGGCCACAGTGTCCAATCACGGAATGGTAATGCAGAAAATGCTGTGTAATATTTGCAATTTTCCCATCAGGGGCAACTGTGAAATGATATACACGACAACATGCTGCAAACAGTGGGAGGTGTGTCTGGCAGCCATTCCTGTTAGTGTACAGAGGTGTGCATGCGGAACAGCTTGACATGTTCAACTAGTCGCTTCTCAGCATCAACTTGTTCACCGCATAGATTTTTATTTGTACAGTCCAATGTATCGATACAGAGTGGAGTGGGGCAGGATAACATAGACATGCTAATCTTGAGCACTAATTTTGCTGTGCATAAAATCATAAGACTACTTACAGCAAACATAATGAACAGCACTGCTAGGCTGCACAATATACCATTTTTTTTTCACCCTACTCTAATAAAGGATGCTTGAATTTGTCATAATATTTCACAGTCCTTTCATTTCCACCAGGCTTTAATTACACACTCCAGTCCATTACCTTAAAAGTCCATAAACTTGAAATTTACTGTAAATATTTCAGACAATGTTGAAATTCTGTTTCAGAAAGTCACTAGAACTAATGTTAGCTCTCAAAGCAATTAAATACAATTGAAATTGGCTCATTGGTGTTCTCAGACAATGATTTCAACGTTTTACAGGTATTTGATTAGATGGCATTAGAGTTGGCCCTGAGCATAAGGTTTCTCTCAACAGCTACTAAGGCAGATCGAATATAGTATGAAGGCTCAGCCACAAGATACACCAAGAAAAGCAGCAAGCCATGCTTTAATTTTTACACAATCTTTCGCACAGGCTGAACTCGGTTTGGCAGCATGCCAGAATTACAAACCTTTCTTCTCTCAAGACTTGTAAGTTTGAGAATGCCCTATATATTTGATTCTTGACAATTTGATTCATGACAGGAAAAAATATGTTAGGGAAATCAGCAGGTGATTTAAATTAGCATTCAAAAGAGGACTACAGCAATTTGCAAAATACTAAGGACACTCAGAATTAACTATATTAACTGCAGACTGGTGCTTCGTGCTTCCTCCATGAACGGTTCCTTCAAAGTATAGCCTACAGGTGAGCGCGATGTTATAGAAAAAGGTGACATTAGGGAGCTTGGCAGTTTATGCATTAGTTCCACACCAATTACATCATTGACAGCGACAAAGAGTAAAGACCCAAATGGGGTCTGAAGGTGGTACAAGCACCATCTGATATGCAGGTGCAACAGTAGTGGTGGGTATGAGGGCACTGTAGCCCCCACAATATTTCCCCCTGCCCCCCCCCCCCCCCCCCCAGACCAAGCATAGTCAAACACAATGCATGTTCCCAGCCTCCCTGCCCCTCTGAAGGAACTAACTTGTCGTGGGTGCCCCCTGAGTAAACAAATCCTGGTGCCACCCCTGCTTAACTGTTGACACATCACCTTTCAAGTGTTGTCTAGTTTGATAAGACAACACTTGATATTGTTTGGTTCAATTTCTTTTACAAGAACTTCCATTCACATATGATCTTTGCATTTAAACAATATCAGAATAAGCACTGTTCATGCCTTTCCCATGAGTTTCACATATGATCTTTGCATTTAAACAATATCAGAAAAAGCACTGTTCATAATTTTCTCATAAGTTTCGGATAATATCAAATTTTTGCTTCTGCCAACTTACATTTCTGTCTCATATGCTTAAGTGCTCCTAAAGGTAGTAGGAAAATCATGCCCCCATGAGGTTTATTAAATTACCCTGAAACGGGCAAGGATGATGAATAAATAGTGCTGCTGCCCATAGTGGTTGAGATGTATACAAACAACATTTCTGTCAGGCGGGTCGCAGTTCAGATATAGCAGTACAGTTATAGCAACCAGACTTCTGAGTTTTTGTGAAAACGATATACATAGTCTGCACAGCACTGAACATTACGCTCAAACCTATTGATGTGTATATCACATGAAAATGTCTGTATCATTAAGCAATCTAAGTACTGCATAACAGGGCATCAATGATTGTGCCACTTCAAAGCTGCACGTGGCAAAACAGCACCGACGCCTCATTCGCATTCACATCAACCTATGGCCCCTATGGAAGGGCGAAGACGAGCCATGCCGCGTTACAGCGCACCATGCATAAGCATACAATATTATCAATGTAAGCACTAGCATATCTTAAGGGCATTCGCTTTTACCGCATTATACCCAAATTTTGCAGAATGTCACAGTGTTACAGTGTTAATCAATGAAGAGATGTTGACAGCATTTAAGCGTTAACTACGAGTTGAAAATTTGGAGGTGCACAACGGTCAAGTAGCAAGTACGCCCAGAAATAACTGCTCCTTTGACCTCTTTTGATTGTCAAGCCATCCGCCTACGAGTAACAACTTCACTGCTAGTGACATGACACAGCATGGGCACAAACTTGTTTCGCCGCTTGATAAGCACCAGCACGAGTACCACCCGAGCCGGCAACGTATGCCGAAAGATAGTAGGCAAGGCACATACCAACTGGATCATCCGCCTTCCTTACTTTTTCCCATTCTTCTTGCCTTTTTCTGCGCTTTTCTTCAAGCTCACTTTCGGATACGAACGATTTAAACTTGGGAATCGTCTCCTGCGATGTGCTACCTCCAAAACTCATTGTGAGCAGTTTTCCAAATGTGCACGAGACAATTATTAGGAATATTGCAGCATGTAGTGTAGCTGCGTCTGTACGCACTAATTATTCGCGCGATAACTTGTTTTGTCGCACGCACTGAACGCCTCCGTCGTAAGAACAAACAATTAATGTTTATAACGAAGACGCACTGCGCACAGATACTCTACTACACCGCCATTACCCCCACAGCAAGATTTTGGCGCTACTCGTGGACACGCGCACCAAGTGTGCGCATTACTTCGTATGCGGAATCTCTTTTACTTTGAAGTGTTGTGTTACTCAGCGCCCTCTTTTACACTATCCTTATCACTTGTTTTGTTGTTGCGGAATGATATTACTTCGCTAGACATACTGTTAAAGGCAAGGTTTTTTTTGGCGTTGCATAAGTCTGCTGCCAAACTTTGGGGTGGTTGTTGCCAGATTGCCGCTAAATTTGGCTAAAAAGTTTTTTTTTTGTAGTTATGGCTTTTCTGTACGAGTTTGGTGCTATCCGCGGTGCATTTCTTGGCTGAAAATTTTTCTCCTGTAGTTGTGGCTTCTCCGTAGAAGTTTGGTGCTATCCGCGGTGCATTTTTTGGCTGAAAATGTTTTTCCTGTAGTTGTGGCTTCTCCGTAGGAATTTGGTGCTATCCGCGGTGCATTTCGCGAGGGCATGAGCGACGCTGGCCGTTTTTATTAACGGATAGCAGAAGTCGAGCGTGGTGCTGCCGTGCAATTAAGAGGCCGTTTTAATTCCGTTGTAATTAACGGAATGAACCGAGCCTATCAGAAGTCGAGCGCGGCGCTGCTGCGCAATTAAGAGACCGTTTTAATTAACGGAATGAACCGCACATTACAGAATTCATTTTAATTAACGGAATGAACCGAGCCTAGCAGAAGTCTAGGCGCGTTCTCCTGCTGTGTGCGCAGCTGTGCGATTAAGATATCGCGTCTCAGTATTAGGGATGACGGGGAAAACTGAATAGAGTCGCAGGAGGTGATGCGCTGCCCTCTCCCCCTTACTTTTCTTTTTTTTTCCCTCTCTCAGCTGATCGTGTCGCGTCGACCGCGCGCTACGACGGGGGACGCTACGCTTCCCCTAGCTGTGTCAGTACAAGACATATCGTTCGTAGTCGTGTATACATGTGATGAATAAGCGTTCCAAGGCTGGTTAATCGGGGTATGTCGGATATGCTACAGCTATGTACGCCTGGAAGGCTGCTTTATCGAAGCAGATGGAGCGAATTAAGCGCGACTTGCGCGTACATGTAAATGGGACCCGGCCGACGAGCCACCGTCGCTTACAGGGCCCCACCCACAATAAGCACAAACTACCAAAATTCCAAATAATGATTGTGTATTGTTTCTCAGCTCAAGAGCTTAGAACAATAAGAATAAAATGACATAATAAACATAATAATGACAATAATAATAATACAACATAATGACAACATAAACATAAGAATAAAATTACAATATGTCTCACTACGCGCTAATCACAATTAAACTGGATACCGGCGAGCAATTACCTCCATTATTCGAAGAAAAGGGTCTTTGACGTTGGGACGTGCGTTGGGACACCAAAGCCAGACGAGGTGAGACGGCATAACTGAGGTACCGTAAAATGGGGTTACTTTGTGACAAATTTCGTACGTTTTCATTCACTCGCTGAACAATTATCCACATAAACGCGAATGAATAGTGGCATAACGTTCCTAAAACCTCCCCTCACACGACGGTATGTTCTACAAATCCGCATCTTTAACACAAATGGCTATATTTAGGATAAAAGTTGTCACAAAGTTGCCCCGTCATGTGGGGCAACTTTGTGACAACGTTGTTTGTGGCTGAATATGATAGGGAAAAAAAGGTCTGGCACGAAGTTACCCCATCAAACGTTTATTTGCGTTATCTACAACTGGTTTCTGTTCTGGAAACGTTACATTGTATTACAAATTGTTCATACGTGTCCAACCTCAATCAAGATCTTTTACCTCAAAGATGCCTCGCTTGCCTACCGGCCTAGGGGATTCAATCGTGTACAAAATTTCTTCTTTTGAGTACAAAATAGCGTCTTCGCGGTCCGGCCATCTCCAATTCTTTTTGGTCCTCTCCATAGTGCTGACGATGTACCCCTCAGGTTTGACTTCTGTCACTCTTCCAGGGAAAACTTGTCCTTCGAAGTTAACTACGACAAAGTCATCCTTCTGGAAAGTGCTTTCTCCGGAACCCGTACAGCGGACCTTTGGGACGTTGCTAGTATTTGAAATCGCGGAAGTGCTAGAAGTGTCTGTGTCCGATAGGTTATCAAGACTTCTGGAGAGTACCTCGGAATCACTTGTATCTTCTTCTGACCGCCTTTTGTTGTCGCCGTACTGACCATCTGAGGACGATTCGCTGTCACTGCTTTCTTCTGCGCTGTCGTCCTCAAGAGAAGACCTCTTCCTAGGTCGTCTAGCTCTGATACCAAAGGAAGAGCTGCCCTTCTTTCCAGTTGTCGGTTTTCCCGTTCTGCTGGTAACTTTGTGACAGTTGGCGTGTCACAAAGTTACCCCGCGAAGTATCAACATTTCAGTTTTCTTTCTATAACCTTAAACAAACATGACGTGAATAAATTTTGATTACAGTTTATTTTAGCCCACATATTAACAATCAGAAGTGCATACCTGTTATCGCTGTGTTTCTCGTGCGGACGGGTCGAGAACACAAAGTTTACGGTGCTTCAACAATGCGCGCTAAAACACCATTAACCACGTGGGCGTCTAGAGTGGCTCCAGAGCGCGGGAACTTTCGCCGGCTGCCCCTAGGTGGCACAGCATGTCAGGCGAGCTTAGGGTGCTCATTCAGGCACCCTAGGCGAGCTTGTTGAGTGGCTCATAGCTTTTCGGCGGCGCCTGGTTGTGGCGCGAGATATAAAATAAAGAAAACCGAGCGCGTGTCACAAAGTAACCCCTGCAGTCACAAAGTAACCCCATTTTACGGTAGTCGTCTTGTTGCTGTTGCGAACGAGACGGCGCTTGGCCTTTTGCCATTCACTTTCAATCCTTTGCGTGTTGGCGCCTGTCGTAGGATCTACGAAGTTGACACTGTGGTTCACGGTGTGCCAGTCCATGTTTAGCGGTGTTCCGTTGGCATCCACAAGTCTGGTATATGCACTGGTATGCGGCCCACTCGTCGCTGTACACCGTCGTCCCTGGAAGAATGTGCTGCCGGTCGAAGCGATGGCGCAGGTGACAGTCCGATTTCACGAAGGAAGGCCTCTTCCGCGGCAGGGTACCTTATGATGCCGGCGATTTCGACAATGCTGGGGTCTATCCGTGGCGTGGCCATGACGAGACGCTTCCTGAACTGGTAACAGTGTAGCTTGCATGGCTAACGTTACGGCATTTTATAAGGGTCATGAGGTGAAAGGGTGATGGAGCGCTCTAACGTTGACAGGGCGCCTACGTGATGCAGCATCAGCGGGGAAGAGGGGGTGGGTCACGGCGCCGACGTGGCGCGAGCATCTGGGGAGAAAGAGTGGATGCCACGGCCCTAACGCCACGTGAGCACCTGCGGAGAAAGACGGGATGGGCAAAGAGGCCTGGAATAAAAAAAAACATAAAAAAACCTTTTTGTACCTCTAACGTTGGTTGACATGGCGCCGACCCGAAGCGACGCGAGTGTCTGCCGAGAAAGAGGGGGTGGGTCCCGGCGCCGACGCGACGCGAGCATATGTGTGAAAATACGTGATAGGCGAAGACGCCTCGAATCATACAACACCTAGGTCACGTACTCCACTTCGGTACCCCTCCTTCTCCACAGCAACGGTGACTTGAGCGGGAGTGCGAACGACGTTACGTGATGCTACGTGAGGTGACCCACGTATCACGTAAACAGTACACCACCCAGGGCACGTACTTCACCTCGGTGCATTGGGCGTCGAGACATGGCCAAACTTGCTCACGTAAACTTCTTAAATTTCCTTATTTGGTGCTCCCTATCTCGGTCGCAATCACTAAGCTTTAGGATCGTGATCCTTATGAAATGCCGTAACGTTAGTTGTTCAAAGTACATTGTCACCATTTCAGGAGCCGTCGCGTTATTGGACTGTCGAAGACGCCATCGCTTCGAGCGGTAGTTTGACCTGCAGACAGTCGGGAACAGCACAGAAGCGGCTGCCGACATCCGAGTGATGGGGAATTCGCAAGGACCTCGGCTTAATTATGGTGACCCAGGATGCAGTAAGTCGTCACGTACAATCGCCCCGGCAAAAACAACGAGCAGATCCACACTTCAGGTACAATGGTTGCAGGAAACAGCTAGCTGTCCTAGCTCCGCGGGACACTCACGATGCAGGGTAGACAGGGGCAAGGCTCTTTTTTTTTTTGCCTCTCGAGACGTACTTGGTCGTTGCACGTCTCAACGTGAAAGACCCTTTCCTTCGATTAATGGAGGTGATCACTAGCCGATATCCTGTTTAGGGATCTCTGCCATATCGTGAGTGATGAGCGTGTAGTGAGACATATTATGCCATTTTATTCTTATGTACCCACCCTATTGTTTTATACTGCGCTCTTGAACTAAGAGACAATTTGTGCTTATTGTGGGTGGGGCCCTGTAAGCGACGGCGGCTCGTCGGCCGGGTCCCATTTACAGGTACGCGCAAGTCGCGCTTAATTCGCTCCATCTGCTTCGATAAAGCAGCCTTCCAGGCGTACATAGCTGTAGCATATCCGACGTACCCCGATTAACCAGCCTTGAAACGCTTATTCGTCACATGTATATACGAGTCCGAACGATATGTCTTGTGCTGACACAGCTAGGGGAAGCGTAGCGTCCCCCGTCGTAGCGCGCGGTCGACGTGACACGATCAGCTGAGAGAAAAAAAAAAGAAAAGTAAGGGGGAGGGGGCAGCGCATCACCTCCTGCGACTCTATTCAGTTTTCCCCGTAATCCCTAATACTGAGACGCGATATCTTAATCGCACAGCTGCGCACACAGCAAGAGAACGCGCCTCGACTTCTGTAATGTGCGGTTCATTCCGTTAATTAAAACGGCCTCTTAATTGCGCAGCAGCACCGCGCTCGACTTCTGCTAGGCGCGGTTCATTCCGTTAATTAAAACGGCCTCTTAACTGCGCAGCAGCGCCGCGCTCGACTTCTGCTAGGCGCGGTTCATTTCGTAAATAAAACGAATTCTGTAATGCGCGGTTCATTCCATTAATTAAAACGG